TCCCCCCCCCCCCCCCCCTCTTTCTTCTGGTGCCTTTTTCTTAATGCCCCTCAGACCCTGGATGTCTCTCCGACTTCTTCTCCCCCTGGACCACACACACACAACACACACACACACACACACACACACATCTATATATATTCTGTATTCACACAAGACCTCCTATTTTTATCACACCGTCTCCCTCACTTCATCACTCCTTTATTGATTTGCAGGTATCTCTGCTGTGACACCCAGACAGAAATGAGGGAATGGTATGCTACTCTTCTCAGCATCCAGGTGCGTTTTCTCACGGATACACACACACACACACACACACACACACACACACACACTCACACTCACACACAATATGCTGAAAGGCCTCGTTAACTGAATATAGGGACATTCTGTGGCTCAATTTAGAAATTCTGAATCTCAAATGTATTGCTGTTTTTTTCCACTTGTCAATAATCTTTAAGACATTTAAAAAACGTATGGCCGTCCTTAGCATCAGGGTTAATGCAGTAATATTAGATTAATTTGACCTCAACAAGATACTGCCATTTGATATGTTTTAGAATGGTTTCCTGCTGATAGTAATGTAATGTAAAATCTCTCCCTCTGTCCGTGTCCCCTCCTTATTAAAGTATGATGGCAACGTTTGGCCTCAGGACGGACTCCAGCTGACACGAGTAAGCCGCGTGTTGCCGGATACGCGTCACGGTAATGTGTCACTGATACCGCTGCGTGGCAGTGAGAATGAGATGCGGAACAGCGTGGCAGCTTTCAGCCAAGACCCGCTTGCTGTGAGTGAACCTACCAATCACGGGGACTAATCCGAGACCAACCAGGAAGCTGAATGTAAAGCTCCTGGCTCATCAGCGACATTCATGCTGAACAGGCGCTCACAATCCTCAATGTCACAGAAGAGTGAACCAAATTGCACCGAGTGTGTGCTAGTTTTGTAATGTGTACTTTACATTTGAAAAACAGAAGTTTATTGAAAATTGGACTTAGTTTAAATATTTGAGACGAATAATTGGGCCTGGCAGTTGTAAAAACATGCAAATTCTATTGTTTTTCAATATTCGTCTTATCTTTTTGGTCTTCACTTTTGCAAAGAGTTTGGGATTAGACCTGTTCAGAATAAATAATCTCTGTTCAATGATTCATCTTTGATTTAAAATCAAACATCATCTGAGTTCTCAAACTTGGTGTTTTTTTCCTCCAAAATTAGACTATAGGGCACTCCCTTGATGTGTTTCCGAGAAAAGAAATGACTCATTTGTGTCTGAGTCTCAACATCTTTAAGAATTCAGATGATGTGAAGAAGAGTAGACAGCTGCATCTTCATGTAGTGGGAGGTTTGGACTGAGAACCAACAAAACAGTCATTCTGGCGCGGCTCTGCCAAAGCATTGCTCTAAAACATCCAGGAAACAACATAAACAAAGGAAAACACATTTCTCCTGTGCCCGAGAGGAACACAAATTCAACTCATGCCCACAGGCAATTTGGTCATCACTGTGTTTCACAGCTCTGCTGCCCTATCAGCGTACAGAGTTGTAAACTTGGCAAGAGTTTGACAAATATAATACCTCTTGGTTTGTTGGACTACATTTCAAGTGCACTGACATTACACCAGACTTGTTCAACAACATCAGTATCACCCTCGCCATCTGTTCTCCTATTTCCATCCAAATCGAGTGCAGCCATCCAAAATAATTCACTGTACACTCAGTCTCTGTGGTATGAGACCAAATGCCCACAATATGAGGATGCAGTGGTCTCTTCCTGCTGTTTCTGTAGCATCACATTCCCCTCAATAGTTTACCACTGACTGCAGCAGCACATAATAATGCAGTCTGAAGTTACTTCAAATGGCACAAACACAATTCCTGGGTTGTTGTTGCCTTTCAGATATTTGCTATCGATCCTCGTCTTTTCAATACACTGAGAAGACGAGGATTGTGGGAGAAGGTGTGATTGCTTTGGTGATGGGGCAGCAGCTGGATTTATGGCGGATGTTTGTGTATGTTGGAGTGGGGGTGGAGGGGGCTGTATATTAATATGGCCAATTTTCACTGTGAAGTGAAAGAGTAAATATGGAACGCTGACCTTGTTTGTCAGTGTCAATGTGTGTGTGAGAGAAATAGAGAGAGAGGATGGTTCACTGCTCCTGATTATCTCTCTCTTGAATATTATGTTATTTGTTGAGACTTTCGAATGTTGATCACTTATTCACCACTCTCTTTCCTCTCACACTCTAACAAGCCTTTTTCTACAGACTTCTCTTGGGGTTCAGACATAACATCAACACCTGCCTGTATCTTAATGTAGTCCATTTCTCTCCTGTATTTTAGCCCGTCACCATCTTCACCCCTCACTGTGTGTCCCTCTCTGTCATAACCACACTGTTGTTTATCTTTCAGCTGTTTAGAGATGTTCGATAATTGTCGCTGCAAGAAAGGTATGAACATTTAAAAAAGTTTGATTTATGTCAGATCTATATTCTGTGTGAGCTGCAACAAGCTAATTGGTTGATTTAAACATGCAAGTCTTCACAATAAAACCAGTGAATGTGGGTAAATGACGTAGATGGGAAATTAGGCTCTTACAAATATGTCTGTTTATTATACTATACCTATAGGCTATAGCTAATGCAATTCAATATTAATATAAATAGTCCAGCTACAAAAAAAACACAGTGAGTTGACAACTGAAACATTGCTCTCCTTTTAGTTAAAAAGTACTCCAGAGGCAGAAAAGTAAATAAAGATTATTCTGCTATGGCTCATCATTTATGCCTTTGTGAATATTATACTGTGCTGAAATTGGTGAATACATTGAATTGTAATTGAATAATTTATCATATATGTAACTGAACAAGCAGAAATTAGCTGGTCTAAACTTTTGAAATGTGAGGAAAATGTATGGACAGATACATTAGTAAAGAAAACAATAGTTGGATTCAACCAATATACTGTACAGCTGATTTAGCTATATACGAATATGGAAAAATAGAGATGTCCACTGAAGTTGACACTTGAAGTTTGATTGACAGAGAAAGCTTTAGGCTGGTTTGTCGCATTATCTGTCCGGCTGTCTATCTGCTCTCTTGACAACTGCTTATTGAGTCCACATCTTGTCTGCAGTTGGTTGCCATGGTTTCGAGACAGGTAGTCTGGATGAAAAAATGTGATTTGACCTTTCAGGGGATAAAGTGTGAAACTGGTTTAAGGTGCAGGGATGATGGCTGGGATATGTTAGTGTGACTCAGTATTTTGTATCTCAGTCTGCTGTAACACATTAAAAAGAGTACGATTTGACAGCACTTTGGCTAACTGTGGATTTCTGTCTTCTGAAGGGCCGACGGTCAGCCTCAGATGACCTACGTCATCTTTCCGCCAATGTAATGGCCAGATTGACGGACAGTGTGTGTGGATTATCGCCTGATACTGCCATCTGCTCATTCTGGGTATGAACTGGACCAAAAAGAACAGACAATGAGGATGACATGTAAAATATAACCGACGCTGGTGTCCCTGCACAAATGAATTGTACGTGACTTGATGTACAGAAGCAGCAGCTGGGAGCGGTGGCACTCAAAATCAAAGAGTGACATTATGATGGACTACAATCACTCGCTTCCTAATCGATGTCCGACAAGACTGCCCCCTCTGTTCCTCTGCTTCCATTGGTCAGCGGCATGTGACTCAATCCCTGAATTGCATTATGGGACAAAAGCATGAAGAACATGCTGAGAAAAATGTTTAATGTATTTAGAAAAGACTTACAGTAGTGGGGATATTCTAGGCACTAGCATCAAGTGCTTGGCAATGTTTAAATAGTTTATTACTTGCATTTGTAGCTGAATATGATTTATAAGTTTTTTTTATTTGAGCTCTTTTTCTGTACTATTGCTCATGAATTGTCAGGATAACCCTGCAGTTCAAAATTAAATATTTGCTATTGTAAGCAAAGCTGATGTCACAGGTGACCTGATTCTGTCCAGGGTTTGTTCCACTGGGACCAAGACTGAGACATGAGCGGTGATGGATACTGTCTGTTACTCCATTTGCCTGTACTGCACAAAAACATGGTCACTGGCATATTTGGCTCGTGTCCATTTGTCTGCATAATGTGGACCAGAATATGTGAACGTGTGCATTTGTGAATTGTTTCTGATGAGGAATGAAGGAAGAGGAGGTATGAGCTAAAAGAGTTGAGGGCTAAATAGCCTTTGATTAACACTGTTTGAATATGTGATTAAATAGGATAAGCAATTGGTTTAGTATTGTCCTTTTAATCTGATTCAAGCACCTTAAATATATCACATTTCAAACCATAATCACTTATTCCAAACATTGTTCTGTGCTTTGGCCTAATACCTAATATTTTATGTTTCCGCTGTCTTAATCCTCAGCACTGCATCCTCTCTTTTTTCTAGATATACAGAATAAATATACATACATCGGCAGATTTGTCATTAACCAGCAGTATTTATGAAGTTTTAGTTTATACATTTGTCACATTGCAATTCAAAATGTATTTTTATGTCTAGAATCTTTGCAGGAGCATGTTATTCTAGTTTGTTCGTCCAAACAGTGCAGGATTTCCTTTGAAACATCTGTAATACAAGAAAACATTAAAGTGCATTATAATCGTTTACCTTTCTTTCAACTTGGGTCCAAACTAGGGTTGCAAAATTCCAGGAATTTTCAAAGATGGAAACTTTCCATGGGAATTTACGGGAATACACGGGAATAAACTGGACATTTTCAAAATTGAAGGTGGGTTCTTCGTAGGGAACTTAAATATAGTTGGGGAAAGTATATTTTAGCATAATGTTGACTAAAACAAACCGATGCCATTCAAGTACACTTCCATATCCATGCCATTCCTCAATCACATGCACATACTGTAGCATACTGCTTACTGCATTGCTATTGAGACCACACCCCCTCACTGTGCATTCCTCCATCACATGCAAGGATGATTTCTAGAAGTCATATTTAACTCAACATTCATGTTTTGTTCTTTAATGAAACAAATGATTGTTCGATAAAATAATTAAAACTTGTTCTGTTCTACTTAGAAATAAATCTGTTGAAATGTCATGTTTTTTTAAATGTATCATTTTGCATGGATGTTTTCTTATGACAAAACACATTTTTTTATATTTATGCTTGGATATGATAACAATTCGATTACATTAGCCTCAATTCCAAGTTAGTTCCCATCAATTCCCATAATTCCCATTATTCCCATGGAAATGTACCAGAAATGTTCCGCCCCTTTGCAACCCTAGTCCAAACTCGTATACATTTTCTCAGAAGGAGAGCCATGAAACAATCTCTATAAACTGTATTAAGTGGCAACAGAGCCTTAACAGCGAGTTTTACCAACTTGTGTGCCACCTGTTGCAAAGACAGCAGAGGACGCTAGATGCTGTGCTAGTGAGAAACTCAGTTGTTTAGATAAATGTTTGGTTTAAGCGCAGTTAAATACGTGTCCACGCAGTTTCTGTGTGTATGAGTCTGTATATCGTTAGCTACCCTGTGAAGTAACGTAAATACACTACAGAAAGTGTTCCTTCCCCTCCATTCACTTTTGTCATTATTCTTTGTTTTCTACATTGAATCAAAGTGGATTAATCATACAGTAGGCCTAAGTCCTTTATTTACATGGATCAAGAGACAATTAGGTACAAATATGAAGCGCAAAATACTTGTTGCATTAGTTTTCAGTCCTTTTAAATCAACCAGCACTGTCAAGTTGTATGATAAACGTTTTGGGATGAAATTAAGGTTCAGACTGTTCTACAAAGTTTATTTTACATCATCGCTAAAAACAAAATGTAGACCTTTCTGATACAGTTGTATTTAGCAAAGATCGTTTTTACACCTGGGATACTAACACATGTTTTCACTTTTGTGACATCTAAAATCACTTGCCATAGAAAGTGGACGTTTATCTATTATTAACAATATGTATGTTTTTATATAATGTGTATTATATCGATACGTTGAAGTGTCACTCTCAGATCATTGTCTAAACCTGCTTAGTACTTCTGTGATTCGATGTTGTAAAACAATGGTTTAGAATAAAAGTCCAACAGGGGCCGATGAATACTTTTTATAAGCAGTATATATTTTGTCACTCTCTTCGTCTTTTCTTATTCTGTTTCTCAGCATTTGACTGATTTTGCATCTATGAAACTCTAATAAACACATTCAGCTAGTTTTGTGTGTGCATATTATATTGTTCTGGCCATGGTAAATCGTTTGGTCACAAAGTTCCCATTACTCATGAGGAGGTTACCGGCCTCCAGCTCTGCTTTGCCCTTACGGTAATCCACTTGTTTTTCCTCAATGCTTTTATGAAATGTATGTGCAGACACATACACATTCAAACTTGAATGTGCCCTACAGGGAAAATGTTAACATATACACATTAATGTATGTACACACAAATATATAGGGGCAGGAACTTTTGCGATGCCTGTGGGTTTCATGTCATGTCATGCTCCATCCAGGAACTGGAAGCCTATACATATGCTTCGAGGAAAAATGTCAGGAGTGTGTGTGTGTGTGTGTGTGGGTTGAGCACAGTGATTATAGGGAGAGCCCAGAGGAGGTGTCCTTGCTGTGTGTGTGTGTGTGTGTGTGTGTGTGTGTGTGTGTGTGTGTGAGTCACAGTAGTCCACCAGCTTTATGTTCATTCTTATAAGCAAAGCTGACGCATCGGGGTCACTCTGTACCTAGAGACACACACCGTAGGACCTCGCGAGGGTCTTACACGCAGGAGACCTTCACCGTACCATTCACATGCACATTTACCAAAATAGCCTTTACTACATAGGTCAGAGCAACAGTTGCGTAAGGCAGAGTGGTGACGCCAGATGAGGGTGGTTCAGAGAAGGGCTACGATTGTAAATGAGCCTCAGGGGCGTGTCAGGGCCTGCTGAGTGTCAGGGTGGGCCGACTGCCGAGACCTGCAGCCCACCTGACAGCTCCCAAAAATAAAGTGTACGTTTTCAGTGAGCACAGTGTGCTACAAATCGGGACACAGACAAACAAACGGGGGGGACAATGGCAGCGACCATTCTCCCACAGAAATCTGGACACCCACCTGTGTGAACCAATCTCCTTCATTTCCACTCAAGAGCACACGTCAACAAACACAGCATGAGCAGCAGCACACATGGAGGCTTCTCTAATAAGAAGTTGGAGGAAAACTTCATAGCTAGATACAGTGGGGCAAAAAAGTATTTAGTCAGCCACCAATTGTGCAAGTTCTCCAACTTAAAAAGATGAGAGAGGCCTGTAATTTTCATCCTAGGTACACTTCAAATATGAGACAGAATGGGGGGAAAGAATCCAGGAAATCACATTGGAGGATTTTTAATGAATTAATTGGTAAATTCCTCGGTAAAATAAGTATTTGGTCACCTAAAAACAAACAAGATTTCTGGCTCTCACAGACCTGTAACTTCTCTTCTTTAAGAGCTCCTCTGTCCTCCACTTGTTAACTGTATTCAATGGCACCTGTTTGAACTCGTTATCAGTATTAAAGACACCTGTCCACAACCTCAAACAGTCACACTCCAAACTCACTATGGCCCCAGAGACCAAGAGCCTGTCAAAGGACACCAGAAAACTAAATGTAACCTGCAGCCAGGGCTGGCGAGAGACTGAATCTGCAATAGGTATAGCCAGCTTGGTGTGAGAAATCAAATCTGTGGGAGCAATTATATTAGAAAATGGAAGACATACAAGACCACTGATAATCTCCTCGATCTGGGGCTCAACGCAAGATCCTCCCCCCCGTGGGTCAAAATGATCACAAGAACGGTGCTAGCAAAAATCCCAGAACCAACACGGTGGGGACCTGTCAAATGACCTGCAGACGAGCTGGCGCGACCAAGTAACAAAAGGCTAGCTATCAGTAACACACTACGCCGCCAGGAGACTCAAATCCTGCAGTGCCAGACTTGTCTCCCTGCTTAAGCACGTACATGTCCAGGCCCGTCTGAAGTTTGCTAGAGAGCATTTAGATGATCCAGAAAGGATTGTGAGATGTCATACATGGCTCTAGTATTGACACCCCCTACAAACTACCTCCACTTTTTCACACATATACATACAACAACTAGTCCGATCTGTTTGAGGAGAAAGAATGCTGAGTTGGCATCCAAAGAACACCATACCTACTGTGAAACACCTTGGGCTCGTTGGAATCACCTCCTCTTGTCTCTTGCGGTGGTCTTGTTCTGACTGCCAAAAGGGACCATGAAACAGGACCAGGCGCGAGGTTTTCCTGAGTTAATATGGAAAGAAGAATAAGCTTTCGAGGTTATTTCAATGTGAGAAGTCGGGGAATAAGAAGGAGGAGGTATTGAGATATGAGCAACCTGCCTTCCATCTAATCTATAGGTGCACTTGTATATGACCAGGGATATTTCATTCGGACAGCGTCTGTATCAGCATGAGCATGCCCATATATCTCTATTCGCGCTTCCTGCATCGTTGCCTGTCGGTCGAGGCTTTCATACCGATCACGCTGCGCGCGAGATTGGTCTCGTACGTATATGTCACCTTCAAGGCACTCATGGTGGTCCAACTAGCAGCGAGTCTCCTCTATGTAGAGTCTCAACCCGCTATACGAATATATCTCGTCTCTGCGCGCAGACGGTCCCTTGAGAGTATTGATTTGAAATTAAGTCTTGTGTTAGCTTCTATTCGCCGCAAAAGCCCTTCTATGTCTACTCAAACATCACTTGCGCGCGCCTCTCACACACGCAGGAGATGTCCCATTCTGCATGCGCTCGGGAGTATTCGCGCGGTTACACCAAACAATATCTCGAGCACAGTGTGTTGCGCATACCCTCGCATGCCTCACCATCGCAAATTCACGTCTTACTCTGTGGCATGCTTTTCTGTTATTGTCTTCTCTCCCCTCACCTTTGGTGCCCCTGGTTCCTTCCACACAACGCGTAACCTAACAAAGTAATGAGTTGAACTTTTGTTATTGAGCAAATACTTATTTCTCCCAACCCATCCCGTACATTAGTTGATGATGCTATTGCAACTATAGTGAGATAAGCCTCTGAGGAGTGATAATCAGTGAGATATTCACTGAGATATTGTTCTCATTTTTTCTCTCACTGCTTGTTATCCTGCCTTGCGATGTATGATAACGTAGGGTAAAGAGATACCAAGATAAAAAAAAGGACAATGGAGGATGGGAAGAGAGTACACAGAGGCCCCATCCCTCTCATCTTTTTAAGTGGGAGAACTTGCACAATAATAATAACAACACTGACTAGGACAAATCTGAGCTCATGTTGCACCGAGCAGTATAGTTGGATAGACAGAGGCAGACATCGAGACGAGCATGTGGAAGGGCAATAAGACGGAAAATTCTATTTATATTGGTTATGACCGTATAAAGCCATCACCTGGTAACATCCAGATCTGACTTAGTATTTGTGTCACACATAGCAATGTCATCCTCGTGCTACTCTGTGTATAGTTATAGATCGCTTGACACTCTCTAAGCGAGAGAGAGAAAGGACTTCGTCTCATGTCTATATGCACCAACCAGCACGCAAACATGATACATCTTGCATGCTCATCTTTCATTTATTCCAATCTAACATTATACTG